CCCAAAAACAGAAACCCGTGACGAATGCATGCGGCAAATACGGCGTCGCGTCCGGAATCGCGGTACGCGACGACGCGTTTGCGGAAATCAAGATATGAAAACGCGTCAGTGCAGAAGCAAGAAAACAAGAGAAACGAAAATTCAAGTGTGAATTGTAAAGAAAAGAGAACAAAGGACTTGAAATACTTCCTGTGCAGAGAATCTGTGCTGGTGAAATATGTCTATCAATCTGCCAGTGAGTGGCAACACCCCAACGGGTGATGACAAACCCTGTCAGAAACTGCGGGGCGTAGAATAGAAAAACTATGGAACGCGGAACGAACGAAATCAGGTGAGAATCTGCACAACGATAATTATGGCAATTCCTGTGGAACGAATGTCTATTACAACCGACTAGAGAATAGATCTTGACTGCTACTTTGTAATTCATACAACTAGCGCGATACTAATAAGGAGAACTGAATTGTATCGACGCAACAATATGTCTCAACTACAAACGCTATATTAAAATACAACAATAAATTCTGAGAATAATTACGCAATTCGAAGATGTCAAGGCACATACATGAAAGCAAACTAATAACACAAATCCATGAACCACGACAAGATTACGTAGCTGCATCAGTTCACATTGTGGCGAACGTCTTCAGCACATCCTCCCCTTCTTGATCCGACTAGGATCAATCTACAAACTCTAGAGGGCATACCTTCGTAATTGGTCGGGTCATTCGCTTACCGGCGACCTGCACTTCGACGACGCGTACCTTTCCGTCAGCGCCCGGGAAGGTCTGAGTGACTCGACCCAATGGCCATTGACCACGTGGGGAATCAGGTTGGATGACTAGGACAACGTCGTCACAGCTGACGTCCTTACGCTCGGCAAGCCACTTCCGGCGCTGATTCAATGCCGGAACCCATTCTGTCAACCAACGCTGCCAGAAGTGCTGCAGCAGCTCTTGGATACGACGCCACCGGTTCCTCGGGTGAAATGGCTGAGTGTCCACTGACTCGGGTGCATACTGACCACCGGCTTGCCCAATCAGGAAGTGGTTGGGTGTCAAGGGACTCACATCTGCAGGGTTGGCGCTTTGGAAGGTCAGTGGGCGCGAGTTGAGTAGGGCTTCCGCACCTGTGAAGGCAGTCATCAACTCTTCATCTGTAATGTCTGCGTTCCCTAGGATCTTGGCAGTTGCTCTTTTCGCTGACTTGATCATGGCTTCGTGCGCTCCGCCGAAATGCGGGGCGAGTGGTGGGTTGAATGACCAGTCCATCTTGCGGTTTGCTGCTGACCGCTGGATGGCATCTTTGTCGAGCGCATCGACCAGCTCTCGCAGCTCCCGATTAGCGCCGATAAAGTTCGTTCCATTGTCCGACAGAACTTGCACTGGTAGTCCACGGCGATGGGCAAAACGTGAGAATGCGCGCAGGAATGAATCAGTATCAAGCCCATACGCAAGCTCCAGATGAACTGCACGACTTAACAGACAGGTGAAGAGGCACAAGTATCGCTTCTGACGTGCTCTTCCACGGCCTTGGATTGTGATATACGGCCCAGCAAAGTCCACGGCTGTCTTAGCAAATGCTCGAAGTGGTGGCTCCAGACGACTCTTCGGAAGGGGTGCCATCACTTGCTCAGCTGGCTTCGCCCTCGTGCGTATGCACCGCGCACATTCGTGTTCCCACTCCCGTATCACCTCTCGAGCAGCCACTATCCAGAATCTCTCGCATACCGATGAAAGTGTCTGGTTGGTACCGCCGTGCTGCTGCAATTCGTGGTGATGCTTAACCACTAACTTCGTGATATGGTGGTGTCGTGGCAGAATAACTGGGTAACGTACGTCGTACGGTAGCCACTCTGCGTACTTCGTTCGACCGTCGCAACGTAACAGACCATCTTCGTCGACTCTGGGACTTAGCTTGCTGAGAACTGAACTAGCTGGAAGGGCCTTGCCATTTGCTAGCGCCTGCAGCTCTTGTCCAAAGGCTTCTGCTTGTGCGCCCTTGAACAACAGACGCTCAGCGTCTTGAAGCTCTGAGACTGTCAGCTCCCCCGTGGCGCGCTGATTACTGCTCACATTACTGATGAAGCGTAACACCAATCCTGTTATTCGTACGAGACGCTGAAAATCTGAATAACGCTCTGGGGTTAATCGCCACATGGTGTCGGTGTTTGATGTGGTTACACTGGCAAATGTTGACGGAAGCGCTGCTGTCTTGCGGACTTCTGCAGCAGCTGTTGGCGATGCTGTCGTGGTAGCTGCTGGTTGTGGCCACTCTGTAGATGGCTGCAGGAGAAAGGCAGGACCTTCCCACCACAAGCTGCTCTCCGCGAGGTTCGTTACCGTTGCGCCTCGGGACACGAGATCTGCTGGATTGAGCGCTGTCGGGACATAGCGCCACTGCCCAGGTCGAGTTAGCGTCTGGATGTAGCCGATCCGATGTGCGATGAATGGCTTGTATTGCCGACTGGGTTGCCGGACCCAATGGAATACATCCATGGAATCAGTCCAGAAGACTGCATTCTGCAGCTGTAGCTGTGTTGCTGAAGCAACTGCAGATCCGAGTTCTGCTGCGGTTACTGCAGCCATCAACTCGAGCCGAGGAATGCTGATCGCTTGCAGCGGAGCGACGCGACTCTTTGCTGCCACGAACCGAGCCGCGACATCACTGCTATCCTGGCTGCGCATGTATACGGCTGCGCCGTAAGCGAGACTGGATGCATCTGCAAACACATGCAGCTGCTGCTGGCTGTTAGTCAAGCTGAGGCATCTTGGGACTCTGATTGACACGAGTTGCTGAAGTTGCTGAAACCACCTGGTTGCTGAGGCTTTCAGTAGCGGATTCAGTTCTTCGTCCCAGTTTGTGCCGGACGTCCATATGTCCTGCATAATGATCTTGCCCTGCACAACTACTGGTGCAATCAGGCCTAGCGGGTCGAAGAGCTGACTGATGCGCTGCAGAAACTGGCGCTTCGTGCTGATTGTTTCACTTGAGGTTGCCGGACGGAACGAGAACACGTCTTCGGCTGCTTTCCAGAGAATGCCGAGAGCTTTAACCGCCGGTAGCTCCCCAGACTCCAGATTGATTTCGGCTGCTCGTAGCTCTGCTGGGATGGCTTCGAGCACTTCCGGTGCATTCGACAGCCACTTGCGTGCGCTCATGCCGGCTCCAGCCCACATCGCTGACAGATCGTGGTACAGCTTCTTGCCGTCTGCTACAGTTTCCACCGAATCCAGCGTATCGTCCATGTAGGTGGAGTCAAGTATGGACTCGGCTGCTCGGGGGCTTTCTTCTCGGTGTCGTCTAGCGTGTTCCTGCGCAACAAATTGTGCCAGAAACGGTGACACGCAGAGGCCGAACACAACTCTCTCAAATTCATACGTATCGGGTGGCTTACTGGTGTCGAGATTTCGCCACAGGAAACGTAGGCAGGGACGATCGGCTGGTGCTACCTTCACTTGCAGGTACATTTCTGATATGTCGCATACGATGGCGACTGAGTGCTGCCGAAAGCGAAGGAGAACATCAAAGAGACTGCGTTGCAGCTTCGGGCCCGCGTGGAGGTGTTCATTTAGTGAGTCACCTTGGCAGCGTGCCGCCGCGTCAAACACTATCCGCAGCTTCGTTGTGCTCTTGTCCGGTCTTAGGACGGGAAAGTGTGGAAGTAACCATCGTGTTGTGCTGACTTCCGTGGGTGGCACCTTGCGAACGTAGCCCTTCTTCACGTATGACTCAATTACGTTGCTGTATGCTTCGCCGACTGCTGTGTCCTTCTTCAACCGGTGCTCTGTATTTCTGAGCCGTTTCTCCGCCATGATGGCGTTGTCTGGTAGCTCGGCTCGGTTGCCTTTCCACGGTAACGGAACCGTGTACTTGTCGTCCGACTTGGTGAGCCCAGCGCTGACGATGTCCTGTGCTGCCTTCTCGTCAGCAGTGCGTTGCGACTCGGCTACCATTGCTGCTGGTACCTCCTCGACTTCCCAGAACCGTTTCATTTGAGTGCCCAGATCATCTACCTGGCGTGTCAACAGGGTGCGTGGGAGGGTCTCACTGTCCGTTGACCCAACACAGGTCCATCCGAGTGGTGTCAGGCGGGCAATGGGCTCGCCACGTTGGCCGGCGATGTCTTTGACGGACTTGTGAAGCTCGGCGTAGTCCAGGCCAATCAGGAGATCAATGGTAGGTTTGCGGCCAAGCGGTGGAAATTCGAGATTAGCTAAATGCTGCCACGCTCGCTTCTTGTTCCACCAATTGACGGCTCTGGCATCTCCCACTACATCAGTTATCGTGTCAGCTTCCATCTTGAGCTTCACTGTAGTGTCGGTGCTCTCAAGCTCAAACTGGACTGGCATGCTGGTGAACGTCTCTACGGTGCCGCTCAGGACGGCTACCCGAACTTCTCGCCGTTTACCCTGCAAGCCGAGCTCTTTAGCCAATACCTCATTGACGTAGGTCTTCGTGCTCCCGTCGTCGAGCAGAGCGTTGATTTCGACGGACTTGCCGTTAGCTCGCACAATCACGGGTACAGTACGTAGCGAGACAGACTCTTTATGCCGTCTAGTCTGAAGTGTCGCGGCTGCTAGATGACTTCGTTCATCTGGTTTCTCAGACGGCTTCTCCTTGTCGCATCCACCAGGTGTTGTTGTTGGTTTGTGCAGGAGGTAGTTGTGTGTGTCCTTGCAACCGTTCACATTACATGTTCGGCTCCTGGTGCAATCGTTCCCACGGTGGCCTGTGCCGAGGCAACGATAGCAAAGGTTGAGACGTTTAGCATGTACCCAACGCTTGGATGGCTCAGCGGTCTTGAACTGTTGGCAGTTCCAAATTGCATGGCTCTTTTCGCAAAGAGCGCATGTAGCTGTTGATTTGGCCTTCTTGTCGGTTGCCAGATGGGTCCGTCGTGTGCCAGCTTGCGCGTTACTGCTATTTCTGCTTCCGGTGCTGCTACTGCTGTTGCTGCCACTGCCGCTGACGCCGTCCACTGTCTCTGTCGCTGTAGCGATGATGGCTGCCTCTCGGTTCACCCACTCTTGTAGTGTTCTCACGGATTCATGCTTGGAGTTTTCCAGCACCCAACGGTGATACTGTGTGAGAATTGGTGTGGCCAATTTCTGCTGCAGCCTTGTGTACATTGTGCCAATGCCGAGCTCGGACTGCAATCCGGCGTCCGTCATTTGTACGATGGCGACTTCTAGGAGGTCAGCAAACCTTTCCAGATCTGCTGCCTTTGCGGTTCGTATCTGGTTGAACTCCTCTAGTTCTTCCACGTGTACAGCGATTTGTCTTCGTTGTCCACCGTAGCGTTGTTCGAGCCGGCGTAGCGCAGCGTCGTACGAAGACGGTGAGAATCCAAGACTCTCAACAACTTTCAGTGCCTCATCACTCAAATACTGCCGCAACTGCAGTAACTTCATCTCTTTCGAGAGCGGCTGTTTGTCGACACATACTACGAACGCTGCTTTCCATCGGTCGTACTCGCGCTTATTGCCGCTGAATGTTGGGATTGACACCTTCTTCAGATTCTTAGTGATATCTGATGATGGCTGTTGGACATGCACCTGTGAACTATACCCTGACTGTGGTGGTGGATATAGCGGCGGGAGAGATGCCTGAGTGTACGGCAACGTGGGCGCTGAATACGGACTAGGATACAGTGTAGGTAAGGCTTGTGGTGTGGACTGTTGCTGAGTATACTGCGGTGTGTATGACTGTGTGTACTGTGGCGTATACGGCTGTGACGGCTGTGGTGTATACGACTGTGCCGAATACTGGTATTGCGGCGCCGAATTAGAATACTGTTGCTGTGCTGGCTGCTGTACTGACAACGGTGCGTACTGCGGCTGAGTCGCTTGTACGGTAGACTGCTGCTGTGGCGGAATACACTGCTGCTGCATGACCTGTGATGCATACTGTGGCTGTGGTATCTGCAATGAATGCTGCTGCGATTGAGACGTCGGCAAATACAATTGCTGCTGTGTCGACGGCTGAAACATACTATTAGGTGCGGAAGATTGCAGAGTTATAGGTTGAGTGGCAGTCTGGCCTACTCTGGTCTTGGCTGTTGGAGGCAAGCTCATCCCAGACACTGGCAGAGTGGTATGCACAGTTGCACTTGTAGTAGACACTGCTGGTGCATGCCTGCTGCGAGTGCTAGTCTTGGTCCCAGTGGCAGCGCTGACTGTCACAGTGCTTCCCATACCTATCACTGGCCTGGCCTGCAGGTAACCTGGTGGTGGTGCACTGGATGCTGCCAAGTAGTTAGCACTGAAACTGGCACCTGTACTTGTGAAACTAATGCTTGTCACACTGGCCTGTGCTGGTGACAGGTAGTTTGTGGTTGCAGGTGACAACCCTGCAGTGGTGCTGGTACATGTACTAGAAGTAGAACTAGTACTGTTACTAGTGTTAGTGGCAGAAGTACTAGCAGATCTAATGCTAGTGCTGGACTGAAGCGCTCTGTCTCCGAGACTGAGGCCCCCTACGTCTGCTCTAACTTTTACTTCACTGGCACCGGCCTGAGCACCAGCTTCTCTGATCGCTGTGTGCTCCACAGTACTACTACTATCTGTCTGCAGCGCTAGCGACTCCACTCCGTACTCAAATTCCCGTGCTCCACTAGCATGTTCATCGCGTTCATCAGCGCTGGTCTCATCGACAAGAGCAGTGTGCCTATCCAGGTAAGCTCGCAGTTTGTAGATTTGAGTTTTTCTGGACGGACTTCCAAAACGTGTACTGGGCGTGACAAAACTGCTGTATTGCCGACAGAAGTCCGCACTTCGTTCCATCGCGGACGTATACTTCTCTTCTGTTTGCTCCGCATCCTCAGATAACTTGCGTAATTCTCCCAGACAGTAGGGAGGTTCTGCTATACGTGAAACGTAGAGAAATCACGTAGAGAGCAGGTGTCTGGGTTAGAGTCTACGGCTTCGCGTGTTTTGGCTCCAGATTTCTACGCGGAGATGGGGTTCTCTACGTTGTGGCACACGCAGAGAAAATGCGTACGGATTTGCTGGGTATCGATCAACTGCATGCAGAAAACTGCCAAATATGGAAGGGGAAATTCCCAGTACACATTCCACGTGACTTCTCTAGGTGAAACGTAGAGCAGAACAGCATTTCTTTACGTTACGGGAACGCGAAGAAAGTTCGCGTGATTCTTTGCGTCGCGTTCCCAAAACGTAGAGCAGAACCTCCCTAGTCTGGGGTCTGCTGAACGTAACTCGCCAGGGTCCTGGTGACTCCTGCAAGTTCGTCCATGGCTCCTTGCAGCAAGGAAACTGCTTTCAGTACCGTTGCCTTGTCCGGCACAGGTCGCGTGTCGACATCTACCAAGACCAACAGCCCACGCCTCGCATTCGTAAGCTGCGTCTTCGCTGCCGACTTCCGCAGCTTCAGGAGCTCGATCTCACGCTCCAAATCCTGGCATTCCTCCGAGGATGCCATTCTCAGGCGAGGATCCTAACCTAACGACAAACCATCCTCTGCTACCAAAATGTTACGGAGGTTTATCGTCCCGTAACGGACTAAAGATCGGTTGGCTAGCACGAAACAAGGAAGCCTCGAAACTCAACGAACGTCGCCATTCTTCTCTCAAAAATCTGTTCAAGCTCACAACGAGCTCCGTCGAAAACTTGATCGACAGCAAAAATAAAAGAGCGTACGTGTTCGTACGCGTGCAGAGTGCAATATTGCAATGTGCAATGCAGTGCAGTGCCCAAAAACAGAAACCCGTGACGAATGCATGCGGCAAATACGGCGTCGCGTCCGGAATCGCGGTACGCGACGACGCGTTTGCGGAAATCAAGATATGAAAACGCGTCAGTGCAGAAGCAAGAAAACAAGAGAAACGAAAATTCAAGTGTGAATTGTAAAGAAAAGAGAACAAAGGACTTGAAATACTTCCTGTGCAGAGAATCTGTGCTGGTGAAATATGTCTATCAATCTGCCAGTGAGTGGCAACACCCCAACGGGTGATGACAAACCCTGTCAGAAACTGCGGGGCGTAGAATAGAAAAACTATGGAACGCGGAACGAACGAAATCAGGTGAGAATCTGCACAACGATAATTATGGCAATTCCTGTGGAACGAATGTCTATTACAACCGACTAGAGAATAGATCTTGACTGCTACTTTGTAATTCATACAACTGGCGCGATACTAATAAGGAGAACTGAATTGTATCGACGCAACAATATGTCTCAACTACAAACGCTATATTAAAATACAACAATAAATTCTGAGAATAATTACGCAATTCGAAGATGTCAAGGCACATACATGAAAGCAAACTAATAACACAAATCCATGAACCACGACAAGATTACGTAGCTGCATCAGTTCACATTGTGGCGAACGTCTTCAGCACAGTTGCCTTTGGCAACGGTCATGTCTAAGGAATAAATGATTTCACCAGTGTGTGTGTGTGTGTGTGTGTGTGCGTGTGTGTGTGTGTGTGTGTGTGTGTGTGTGTTTGTGTGTGTGTGTGTGTCTTGTTCTGATGTGCCTGTGTCTAGGGTGATGTGGCAACACGCAATGTAAGTACTGAACTTGCTTCCCAACCATCGCCTTTGCAAGAACTGTGTGTAGTTTGTAGTATACTTGCAGCGAGTGGACCTTTGCTTGTATGTTTGTGTCCGGCGGTGCGTATATTCTTGTCCGCTTGTGTGTCTATTCGTACTGCGTGCTGTATCGGGCATGCTCTGACTCTGAGATGTGTTGATGTGTACTGTTGCTCCTGCTCTGTGCTGCTCTGCCGGCTGTTTTCTAGGAGAGTGAGCACTTCACAGTCTGCAGCTTCCTTCTCGGCGTGGGCTGTTTGTTGATTTGGGTCGGTGCTCTTCGCTTCCTCAGCTACTTCCATGGCTACAATGTGAGTGCAGCAGTATTATTATTATTATTATTATTATTATTATTATTATTATTATTACTAGTGAAGATTATTGTTTGTGCCTGGAGAGCACTATATAAGTGGTGCTCTTCAGGCACAATCTTCCTCAGCCTACTCAAGCTCAACTGATGAGGGGTGAATTCCCCGAAACACTGTGTATTGAGCAGGGAGTGGTGCTTTCTTGCAGGTTTGCCGAGTCGAAGGTTCGATGGACTTCTCGTGTGCTCTGGATGGCAGTCGTGAGTCAGTCAAGTGTCAAGTAAAGTCGGCGGAATAGCGCGAGCTCCGGTGTGGGGAGCAAACCCTTTCTTACAAGTCGCAACCACTAATTCGAAGATTATTATTATTATTTTATTTATTTTACTAGGGTGTTTCCCACAGACCTATGGTCTTCTTACGGGAGCCCCTAGAAAGGTTAAGCATGAACGAACAAATGGGCGATAATCTGTACAAGAGCGAAGAGTGGAAGGCAGCATGTTCCACCGATCAGAACCTATGTAGCCAAGACGAGAAAAACCAGCTTTAGTGCGGGCAGAAGGCAAGGCCAGAGAAAAAGAGATTTGGTACCTAGTGACGGCAGTAGTATGTGCACTGGAGAAGCGGGTATGGAAAATTTCTTTTAGGAGAGAGCTGCATGTGCCGCTATGGACAGAGCGAAATACAAGAATAAAAAGCTTCAAATTGACTCGGACGGAAATGTGGGAGAGATTGTATAGGCTAAGAATATGAGAGGCACTGGTAAAGTTATCGAAACCAAAAACTATTCTTAGACACCTGTTAAATAGCCGGACATACTTATCGAAATAGTAAGAACTGAGGGTGTGGACGTAAGCGCTGCTTGCCTACTCCAATGACGACTGAATAACACTAAGGTAAAAGCTACGCCGTGCATGGAATGGCAAGAGATGTCTTGACATGCGGTAGGCGCCGAGTTTCCTGTTGACAGACCCAATCAAGCTGTCAATTTTTGGCCCAAAAGTCAGGTGCTCCTCAATGACAATGCCAAGATAGCGTGCAGACTGCGCTCGAAGAACATGGACGCCGTCAATGACGACACTGGCGGAACTAGGCACTGCTGTTGTCTTTCTGTGAAGGAGTAGAGACTTCGTCTTTGCTGGGTTCAGCATCATGCGCTTCTCTTTCAGGTAGACAGACAGCTTGGCCAGATCTCCGTTCAACGTTCCGATGACTTCCTCAGCAGAGTCACCAGCTGCATACATATTCACATCATCCGCAAACTGCAGAACTGTGGAACTGTTGACGCATGAGGGAAGACCACGGACATAGAGGCTGAATAGGATAGGTCCCAAAACAGACCCCTGCGGAACACCCTGCGTACATGGCACGCATGGCAGGCCCTCTGGTGCAATGAGCTGCTGCGTTCGATCACTCAGGTAGCTTTTAAACCATGCCAGAGCCGAGTCACCAATCCCACAATCAAATAACTCATTCAACAGCAACTGGTGATTGACGAACGCTTTCCTGACATCAGCGAGCACTACGCCAACAACCTTCCCATTATCCAAGGCTTTCATCCAGCTATCAACAGTCAGGGCCTCCTCACACGATTGATATCGTCTGTATGCGAATTGCTCGGGTGGAATAATGTCGGGATTCTCTCTCAGAAGAAGGCTTAATTGGTTGTACACGTGCTTCTCGAGGACTTTACTAGCGATCGGTAAAAGTGAAACAGGTCGGTAGTTTCGCGGTTCAGAGCGGTCCCCGCCCTTGAAAAGTGCTCTCACGGATGCATGCTTGAAAAGCGCAGGAAACTTACTCTCCTCAATAGATGCCCTGAGAAGAGCACACAGGGAACCTGCCATTACTTTATGACACTTCTTGAAAAGGATCGGAGGCAACCCATCTGCTCCGGGAGCCTTATGGGCATCGAGATTACGAAGGATCTTTACAACGTCGGTGACCATGGGCTGCGAGATAGCCAACATAGAAGTCTGGCGATGGGGACCAGATGGGCAGTGAAGGTGTGTCCGGATGGGGTCTGAAACAGTTTGTGCAAAGGTGCGGGAGATACCGATGTGATCAGTCCCTCCTAAAGTGTCCTTGGTATGTCTGTGAAGCAGACCATTGAGTAACTGCCATTGGCCCCTGGGCTGTTTACGGACGGACATGAATTGGTGTTGATAGTACTGGGAGCGGAGACGCCTGTTCATTAAAGTTCCCTCGCGCCGAACTCGACGATATTCTTCTAAAGCTGCTGGGTCACTCGCTTTCTTACATGCTCGGCGGTGGAGGTACTGTCGACGTGCGAATAGAAAACGTAGTTCTGGAGTGATCCATGGCTTAGGCGATTTCTTGTGTAGCTTTATGTTCTTGACCACATATGGATCAAGGTCATCAAGGACACCTCCAATACTGCCGTGCCATTTATCCACGAGTTCATCAGCGCCAGTGCTAGCAGTGACATGTCGTCCTGTCTCAGTGAGGGCCGAACCAATCCTGTCAGACAGATCATCAAAGTCCAGGGTGGAAAGCGGTTTCTTTCTAGTCCTAACTCGGAGATGACCTGGTCTGTCAAGGTGGCATTCAAGGTCTAGACTAGCTTTCACGACAAAGTGATCGCTAATTGGATCAGGCATTACACTGACATCAACAGCTACAAGGTCGCCAGTGATACAAATAGGGTCCAAACATGAATCGGAGCGGAATCTGGTTGGCTCTGTTACAACGTTATGAACACAGTGGGTTGCACACATGTTTCGGAAGTGAGCGGGAGCTTGATCAGACAAGCAATTGACATTAAGGTCGCCGAGAATGCATAGTGAGCTGTGCTTCACGCTTCGTGTTACGTTGTCTATGTAGGCAGTGAATGTATCCCAGAATCCTACCCCTGATGAAGGGGGTCGGTAAACACATATCAGTGGTAAACGCCAAGTGACGTGTCCAGGGCTGCGAAATTCAAGCAGCACACTTACTGCTTCTAGTTCACTGTCACACGGACTCAAATTGATATGCACGTACGTCATCGGTATAGTGCTACGAACATATATTAGCACACCACCTCCGCCTTTCCCTCTGCCTCTGTCTCGTCGAATGTGGTCGTAGCCTTGCAATGCAATAAACGAATCTGCAATTGAAGTGTCTAGCCAAGTTCCGGTAATGCATAGTATGTCCAATGTATGAGTAATAATTAAATCCTGTATATACAATAACTTGTTCCTGATACTACATAATTATATTTATGTGACAAATATTTCATTTACAATGCCAGTGCGTTGTTGGGGTATCCGCTGGACTGGAGTCCACGCCAGCAGCTGCCGTTCCACTTTCGCACCCCTAGGTGGTCTTTGAGAGATGCATGGCGATTTCTTCGTCTGTCATGGCTTTGCCCTTCAACATGATCACGCATCGAGGCAGAGTACATCGGATGCCATTCTGTCGCAGTTTCCGAAATGTAGGCCAGACGTCATTTCGCTTAGATTGTTCAGTACGAGTGAGATCATGGGACACGTAAACAGGTTTGCCACCTGTAACTGCTTCTTGCTTCCTTTTCATGAGGAGTTCCTTCCCACTTTTGGAGAGGCATACACGTACAGGACGGGGCTTGCTGGGAGCTGTGCCTGATCCGTTTGTTGTGTTACGCCTCCCCAGTCGTTCTGCACTAAATATGTCAGACGATCTGACCCCGCCCGGGATCAGTTCACGAACTGTCTGCACCAATGCACCCTCCTCCACAGCTTCAGGAACTCCCCGCAGGACTACGTTATTGGAACGTGCTATCTGCTCAGCCTGCTCCTCAAAGTAAGTTTGAGCCATATTTGGGGTGGAATGTGCAACCTCCCCCAGTCTAGTCGCCAGCCTGTCTACCTCCTGCCGGAGCCCAGTAATGGCGGATTTTCCGCCATTGCCTGGAGAATCACTGATGCATGTAGCAGACGCAAGCCATGCCACTTCAGTTGTCAATTTCTCGTTCGCGGAACGGAGCTCCTTCAGGTCACTCTCCGCTCCTGCCACTTTCTTTTTCCACGGTAGCCAATCTCTCGTCAAAAGGCGACATCAGTTCCCTCTTATTTCTCGCCAAGTCCTCTCGGAACTCCGAGGCAAATTGTCTTGGGTCTTTAGTAGGTACATTACTTTGTCCAGAGGGACTGATTCATTAGGACTTACGCCAGTTACGGGCCTGTCTGTGCCAGGTAGGCGAGCCGATTTTGGAATGGTGATCGGCCTGACAGTGGTGGTCCGACTCAGCTCCTCAGCTTCCGACCCAGAGAGCATCAAGCTCTCCGCTGGGCTTGCCGGTTTGGCCTTGCGGCCAGCTCTTCGGCCCATCTCCTGGACGGGTGTTGGGGATATCATGTCAGGGCTCCCAGTAGGGGTTCCCACCCTCTCACGACCAGCATGAGGGGGGGGGGGGGGGGTACCCGACGCAAAAAATCTTCACTGCACTCGACATTGCGAAAAAAAGTATTGCTTGGTATCACGACCGTGCTTGTGTGCAGTTGTGTGGCATACAGTGAAACCTGTGTATGCCGACCGCTCAAGGGACCTTACAATGCGGGCGCTGTGTACAGGTGGTCGTCGTATCCAGGGTCATATTGACTAGAGAGAGCGCCCCTTGGTTCTTGTTGTAGTGTGAGGGAGTTGAAAGGGACATTTTCTGGAGTTATTAAATGATGGATTTTTCTTCTTAAATCGTTAAACGCTGTGCCTAGGGTGAGATTGAACTCTTACCGTAACATTGGTTTGCCACTCCACACCAAGCGTATCCGATGATCTCATTTTCATCACCTCTAAACATCTCAGTTTACTCGGGTTATGTTTGCGTAACTATCTGGATATCTTGTGTGTGTGTGTGCCTCCACTGCAGGTGTTGCTTGTGACGCTGCGCTGTGCACTGCCTAGTCTGATGCGCTTCATGCTGTGTAGTGGTATTCTGTACATGGCATTTGCCTTCTGTGGCTGGATAGCGCTGGGTACTTACCACGTCAAGGTACGGAGGACCTTCCGTGCTGGACAAAGCTTTAGAATTACGTGTGTGTGTGTGTGTATGTGTGTATATGCATGCCTATATGTGTGTGTGTGGGTGCCTGTGGGTGGGTGCGAGCATGTGTGGGTGTACGCACATGTATCTTTGCCGTCCACAGTCATGCACATCCGCACTGGAACTGCAGTGCATAAGATCTCCACTGAGCAACGTATAAGATCTCCGCTAAGCAGTTTATAAGGTCTTCACCGAGCAATGCATAAAGCTACAAGTATATGGTCTCCACTGAGCAATTTATAAGAGTTCCACCGAGCAGTGTATGAGTTCTTCACTGAGCAGTGTACATACAGCACTGGTCAGTGGTAGTTCAGCCACAGTTATGACTTTAGCGCACCGCCAAGTAGCCAACAATGCCTCCCTGTCCACTACCGGAGTATAGCGTCTTGTTCCTCTCAGGCACGTTTGACGACAGTCGGCTACGCTGCCACCGATTCGGTAATATAACTTGATGAGGCTCTTCCGTTCTCCCGCTTCACCTCTGATCCCGCCTGGTCCAGTAACAGACTTCCGACACGATCAACTGTCAAACTCTTTGCCGTGTTGCAGGTTCCACTAGACGCTGAGCAAAATCTTTTGGATTTAGCCTCAGACTATGTGTAATGCTATTTACCAATGGAGCTCTGTTCGATGTTTGAGTGGATTCTTTCTTCAAGGCTATGACATATTCTTGTTGAGCTGGACAGTTTCAGACCAGGGTTCTACCTGTTCATGTAAACATGGTATTTTATCACTCAAATTATCACTCAAGATGCTTGTAGAAAAGAAAAAAGTCCAAGGAACTACAAGTTACACTATACTGTCCACTAACACCACCAGTTACTAAACAATCAGCTCATGCGATAACATTGCACGACACTGACCGACGGTACTCATGTTCTACAACTGTCTGGCTAACAGCTCTAGCACACCCCGGATGCACACTCCAACAGCCTTCCAACTTGGCATATATAGCGTAACTTGTAGTTCCTTGGTCCTTTTTCTTTTCTATAAGGCCACACGTTTTTATTTCTACGTTTCTCGTCACCCGCGCGCATACGATTCAGGAGTCTGGAAAAAAATAAAAAAATGACCGAAAAATAAAACAAGTTTATTGACCTTTGTTCACACTAAAATCCACCAATACACCATGCAAAAGCCTGCACGACACATGATGCAAGGATGGCATTTTTGTGCGCAATCTAGCTGCACATGCTCAGATTGCGACAGAAGCTCCTATGGCCTACCACACACTAGTTGCTAACTATGGATGCTATTTTGCATGGTGTATTGGTGGATTTTAGTGTGAACAAAGGTCAATAAACTTGTTTTATTTTTCGGTCATTTTTTTATTTTTTTCCACCTCTCGCATACGTTTTTAGATTTTCAGGTGACGAGAAACATAGAAATAAAAACGTGTGGCCTAAATTTATCCTTGACTCTCCATCCGAGTACAATCAAGATGCTTGTCTGTGTGTAACTTACGTGCTTGTCTGTGTGTAACTTACGTGCTTGTCTGTGCAGTTCCGCAGTCTGACCGTGACTTCAGAAACACTCTACTCTCTCCTTAACGGTGATGACATGTACCGAACGTTTGAACTGATGCCCAAAAAGCCGATCGGGCCATATATTTTCTCTCAGGTAGGTGTGCGTGTGTGTATGTGTTTGTGTATATGTGTGCATGCATGTGTATTCGGGTGTGTGTGTGTGTGTGTGTTTGTGTGTGTGTGTGTGTGTGTGTGTGTGTGTGTGTGTGTGTGTGTGTGTGTGTGTGTGTGTGTGTGTGTGTGTGTGTGTGTGTGTGTGTGTGTGTGTGTGTGTGTGTGTGTGTGTGTGTGTGTGTGTGTGTGTGTGTGTGTGTGTGTGTGTGTGTGTGTGTGTGTGTGTGTGTGTGTGTGTGTGTGTGTGTGTGTGTGTGTGTGTGTGTGTGTGTGTGTGTGTGTGTGTGTGTGTGTGTGTGTGTGTGTGTGTGTGTGTGTGTGTGTGTGTGTGTGTGTGTGTGTGTGTGTGTGTGTGTGTGTGTGTGTGTGTGTGTGTGTGTGTGTGTGTGTGTGTGTGTGTGTGTGTGTGTGTGTGTGTGTGTGTGTGTGTGTGTGTGTGTGTGTGTGTGTGTGTGTGTGTGTGTGTGTGTGTGTGTGTGTGTGTGTGTGTGTGTGTGTGTGCACATATGTATGTGCATATGTGTATGTGCAGGTGTGTAGAGAAACTGCAACTGCTGATGTCAATAGAGATGAAGAGAATCACAGCTATAACGTGTCACTACATCAGCCATGATAGATATGGCGATGCTTTACGACTTGGCGTATGGGAGTTACGTTGGATTTTGCTGCAAATACTTCGAAGTACATGTAAATGACTGATTTCGGCTCTTGAAGAAGCCAACATTCTTACTTCGCTTGGTGTCTCTTTCACGAATATGAGGTCAGTACTTACCACCAGCTTTGTTATCTGTGCTTCTGCCTGTAGGTGTATCTCTACATCTTCATCAGCCTCTTTATCTACTTTGTCCTGAGTCAGTTTATTGCTCTGATCACGGAGACGTACACAGAGGTGCTCAAGATGAAGGAAGAGGTAGGGTCCACTGCCATGCTGATGGTGCATGGTTCATACCGGTTGGACATGTGAACGTACATGCGTGGTCTGTATGTACTTCTTGCGTATTTTCACTCAAGCTGGATTTGAATGTACAGTAAAATGCTGAGAAGACCTGCTTGTCCCCCATGGGCACCAGGAAAGTGTGCATGTACATGTAAAGACAAGCAACTTAATGTGTGATCTCTCTCCTCTACAAGGAGACGTCTGAGCGCTGCTTTTCTTAGCTCTTACTTTTGCGTAGGGGTGAAGGTTGGCGTTAAGATCCCGAGTTTGAGTACTCTGATTTTCTCCGATTGAATATTCGAGTATTCTACTTTTGCGTGTGTGCTCTGCTGCTGCTGCTGCTGCTAGGATTACGAGCATTTGAATGCGTGCGGCCACATCCTGCGGCTTCTGGAGGTCGACATTGACGGATCAAATGCGGACATCGACGCTATGTTTGCCCGTGGCGATGACTCGCTGTGCCCTTCGCCGACGGAGGACACGGGAATTGGCATAGTGAGTGGGGCAGCGACTACACCACCACAGACACCGCTGCCTGCAAGCACACCCGGCACCGCGTACCACAGCCGATCGTCGTCTTCCAGCGACGGCACGCCTACTCCTCGCAGCCTGCCGAAGACCAGTCCCGTCGACGGCATGGCCGTGCGAGGCAGTGCCGACCCTGCTGCGGCATCCCCCGCCAGCACACACGCTCGTCCAGCGTCTGCTGATTCCAGTGCACCAGTAGCTACTTCTCGCAGTCGGGCAGCAAAGGCAGGTTCCAGTCCTGCCAAGCTACCAAAGGCGCAGGACTCTTCTGCTTCTACTTCTAGTGCCCGTGTCCTAAACAAATCTTCTACAGTGCTCATCCCCCAGCAAGTCCCCACCAATACTGAGTCATCTGCCATGGTAGCCACTTCAGTGTCCCTGTCCCTAATACGTCACGCCACCCCTGAACATTCTAGTTCGCAGGGCAAGACTAAGTCTACCCAGCAGCACAAGTGAGTGCATGTCCATTGTCCTTTGGTGTGTGTGTGTGTGTGTGTGTGTGTGTGTGTGTGTGTGTGTGTGTGTGTGTGTGTGTGTGTGTGTGTGCGTGTGCGGGTGCGGGTGTGCGGGTGCGGGTGCGGGTGTGTGTGCAGGCGTGTGTGTGTGCAGGCGTGTGTGTGTATGTGTGTGTGCGTGTGTGTGTGTGTGTGTGTGTGTGTGTGTGTGTGTGTGTGTGTTGGGGGAGGGGGGAGGGGTTGCGTAGGTACTGCATGCATGTGTGTGTGTATGTGTTTGTGTTGGAAGGAAGGATGAGTGCATGCATACAGGTGTACGTGTGGGAGCAAGAGTACATAACCCCCAAGAGTGTGCGACTGCCTGCACAACCTCTATGCAGTGCTGCGACGGCAGAACTTCACATCACGTGACATGGTTCAAAAGGTTACACTGGCAAACAGTGCAAAGTGACCACAAGAGAGTTGTACCCAAAGCTGGGTTGCGTACAACCCTGTATCTATCATGCACAGAGTGCAAATAATGTGTACTGGTTCATCACGTGATGTGAAGTTCTGCCGTTGCAGACCCCATAGCTGGAATTGCACACTCTTGGTGGGAGAGAGGGGGGGGGGGGGGCATGTGGGTGACACCGACATACACGCTCGCATGCGCGCGCCCTGAAATCAAACCTTGATTCTCGTGTTGTAGAGAGTGTGTGCAAACGAATGCTCCAAGTCTCTACTCTTGTTAAATACAGGGTAAGCAGCAGCATTCGGCCCCGTACAGATTTCCCATCAACAACACACCATAACTGCGCTCTCCGGCCGACCTCGACATGTTGCCACAGCACAGCATCAGCAAAGCGACACATCCGTTGCTACTGAGTTCCTTCATAAAGCTGTTTCGAGTACTAGTATTAAACTCAGCGGATATTCAGGTGGATGTCAAACCACGGCGCAGTGTTAAGAGTGAATGCCCCACGGGCCTCTCGAACGATATTAATGTGAGCGTGTGTGTTTTTCAACAGTGCCACTGCATTGCTAAGCCTCAGCAGTATCATGGAAACTGAAGAGAGTGCCTGTGATACTGCTGGAGCTTAGCAATGGAGACAGTGCGGTGCAGTGTGGTGAGTGAGTTGACGGAGTGCATGTCCAGCGTCAACTTGAAAAAAAAACACCGGTGCATATTTATTGGATACCGCCTTTTCTTCTTTCTTGACTCAAGCATGCCGTGCATGGATCTGAGACTGTGCCTATACAGCAGAGCATCTATTTTCCGAACCCTTCGGGCCTAGCGCCGGTCAGAAGGGGTTCGGACGAAGGAAATCTTCGTATAATGAGAGAGTCACAGATACGCATGCAGTATAAGGCTCATGCATGCATGTGATACAGTCCCAGTGCCCTGCTCAGTGACATGCCCAGTGCCCTGCCCTGTGACCTACCCAGTGCCCTGCCATGTGACATGCCCAGTGCCCTGCCCTGCCCTGTGACATGTCCAGTGCCCTGCTCCGTGACATGTCCAGTGCCCTGCTCAGTGACATGCCCTGTGCCCTGCTCAGTGACATGTCCAGTGCCCTGCCCTGTGACATGCCCAGTGCCCTGCTCTGTGACATGCCCAGTGCCCTGCCCTGTGACATGCCCAGTGCCCTGCCCTGTGACATGCCCAGTGCCCTGCCCTGTGTCATGCCCAGTGCCCTGCTCAGCGACCTACCCAGTGCCCTGCTCAGTGACATGCCCAGTGGCCTGCCCAGTGTGATTATCTTCCACATGATAATTGCACTGTTGAAGTCGTTTAACACATGGTGTGATTGTATGTGTGTTTGCTTGTTGCGTATAGGGTACATGACTTGACCGAGATTCCAGCACGGAAATAAGTGTGCCTAAATACCGGTGGTACCACTGCACTTTCGAATAAGTTAATCAGCCGCAACATGAGTGTGAAAGAATGCCAGCACCCGTGCACGTGCTGCCATGCTATGGATAGTCTACAAAATGGTCTGTTTGCAAAAGTAAGCATCACAGACTTCACAACTTGAGAAGGACATTGAAAATCTAGCTTATTACGCTACCGTCCTCCTTTTAACTTGAGTCCTTTCCCTTTTTAAAGCTTTCCCATTTGAAAGTTTTTTTTAAAACATTTTAATCCTCTTTTTCTGCAATCCTCGGTAACCTCTGTCTTTACGCCATGAAACTACATGTACCGTATGCCGTATGAAACGAAACACATCATGTCTCAATTGATACTTCAAGTAAATATTTTCTCCTTTAGACCTCTCTATGTTTCTTCTAGGCCTTCGTAAATCTATCTTCTGCTCTGTTTTGTCACGATGCAGCTCTCTTTCGTGATGAATATGAGGCTCCCTCCGCTACTCTCTCTCTCTCTCTCTCTCTCTCTCTCTCTCTCTCTCTCTCTCTCTCTCTCTCTCTCTCTCTCTCTCTCTCTCTCTCTCTCTCTCTCTCTCTCTCTTGCTGCTCTTACGTCTTTGCCGCAGTCTGATTTCCAAGGGACTGTCTGTGCGAAACGCTTGCACCTTGTGTGTTGGACTATAATATTTTTATTATTATAATATTTCGAAAGAAAAGGTGACAGCACCGACGCAATCCACACAGTCAAGTAAGCCAATTTCGTAAGCGAACGTTTTCGTTCCCTTCTCATCATGGGTAAATACAGGGAATAATGGAAAAATGTCAAACACAGCAACTTATAGAGCAAAAGCATAGATTGAGACCTCACGCTATACGTGTGGAAAAATAAAATTCAGCTGAACAAGTCAACAACAGGGTGAAGGTGAAGAAATGACTAAAACATAATGAAAACATCAATGAGAAGAAGCATTACTGACACTTTCACGAGGATTAGCGCCAAACAACTGAAGCGACAAAACATTTTCCTTCTGCAAGTTCTGGACACACAGTTCAGGGGACAACTTGCGAATATATAACGCTTCCAAAACAGACAAATGTAATACAGATCTGCCACAGGCCAAAACTGAGAAAACATCTCTGTACAACTCACGACAACTATCACTAACCGACAGATGACTCTTGATCGCCGATTGCTGACTGTTGGAATTTCTCGTCTTTTTTGTCACCTCCGATGTCGCAGCTCTTGACTCGTCCTTTTCACTGGGCAGTCGCCTTGTCACTTCCGATGCTGCAGGTCCGGTCTCATCCCTTCCATCATACCGCCCGGCCACTCGTCCGTTGTCTGACTCGTCCGTTGTCTTGATCACTGGCTTTCGTGGTGGTCTTCCACGCTTCCTCCCCGTGACTTACGCTCGTTGTCACTTCCAGTATCGTCGCCTGTTCGTCTCCTCCAGTACGCATCCTCACCTGGCTGCGAGTGACTCGTCGACTGGGTGTCCCTGGCATTGTCTTCTTCGGTGTTGTTTTCACAGGTCTGCGCCTCTTTGCTTTGCCGACTTGGGCCGGCCCAGGCCCAGCGCATGCCGTCGATGAAGTCGATTGTGCTGCTGCGCCAGACGAAACCTCGGACTGGGACAATGCTTCACGTGACGCAACCTCAGTCGACGCACATTTAGGAGGGCGACCACGTCGAGGACGAGAATCACGTGCGTGTACCGGGACTAACCTCAGCGGTACATGCTGACGGGTTCGTGCGCCAAGGTGCTGAGCAGTTCTGCCCACATACCGACTCTCACACTGCCGGCATTGAAAAAAGTAGATGATTTTACTTGTGGAAAGGGTAGGCAGAACATCCTTCAGCACCTTGAATGCACGAGTCGTCCCAAACGCGACATACAATTTGACGCACGGATAAGACGCAGTGACAATATGGCGAACTTCCTTCTCGACATATGCCGAACCAGAGCCAACCCGGGCAGGCGTAGTACTACCGGACATTTATCCGGTCCGTACGTCAGTGGTTTAGATAGTAGATCTACCGGTTTCTCGTCAAGTAATTTGGTCAGAAAATGTTTGGGATAGCCATTTTTCAAAAGTATGGAGGAAAGTCGATCCAACTGATCTTGCAATAGATGTGGGGAGCATATTCGATTGGCACAATAAACCAGGGCTTTAACCAAATTCCTTTTCCACTTTGTCACACCAGTCACACCACAGTCATACTGTAGCTCAGTTGGTTAGAGCATTGCTCGCGAATAGCAAGGTCCCTGGTTCGAGTCCCGGTGGTGTGACTGGTGATTCTTCTGTCCCCGGGGAAAATTGCAATTCCGCGGCCGCGTTTTTTTCCGCGTTTTTTTCCGCGTTTTTTTAAAAGACCGCGTTTTCCGCGATTTTCCCGCGTTTTTTGAACTTTTTTGTACACTACACGTACACACAGTGCACTGTTCGGTCAGCAACGTCTCATCGTGGCGGCTTTTTACTCAAATATGACGAGTGCTTACACCAGAGACTTGTAACTGATTGATTTCACTACATACTCACTGAAAATTGCCGCACATCAATATTATTCACCGCATATTTACCGCAAATTCACCGCAAATTATGCCATATTATGCCGCGTTTTTCCCCGCGTTTTTTGCGATTTTTTCCGCAATTTTCCCCGGGGACAGATTCTTTCTTTCATATCTGGCTTGCAAGTGTTGAGTTTCGGAGAGAAAAGAGCAGTACGTGGCATGTGGCCTATAATAATATTGGTGAGGTTTTGCATTCCGAATTTCGGTTCGGCGTTCTTCGGTCATTTGTCGAACATCAAAATGTCGAATTTTCGCTCCAACGTTTGTTTTGCAAGTCGAAAATGATGTGTTTTCATGTGAGCCCCAGCATCAGCAACGTCCTGTCCCGTGCTCCCTTTCTTGCTGATTCCAACGGCACTCCAGGCGATAGAGAGTAGACAGGCAGTGGAGAGGAGCAATCAGAAGTAGCTGGCGATGCTGATGCGCCCAAGACGCCTGCGAAGCAATGCCGAGATAAGAAACCTCTTTGAATAAATCACGCGCTAGCGCTCTTCTACAAGAAAATTCATCCGAAAAATATTTTCGGCAAAGTGAGCTTTTTCCGAACAAACATGCCGAATCTTCGTGTGCATTTTCGACCTCGCTCCCGCGTGCCGAATCTGTTTGCCGAATTTCGGAATGCAAAACCTCACTAATAATATGAGCCGCAATCAGCGAAAATTGATTGATTTTATTTTACTTCGCAAGTTCAAACGGGTTCCTGGCCCAGTTATATGAAAGCGAAGGATAGAATTTGCCAAAATCCTAATGAGCAACAGCATAGGCAATATTATCATAGAAGTGGAGCACTATGCGAGCGAGAATACTGAGAAGAAAGGAACATGTCAAAACCTGACGAAACACAACCTATTTCAGGCATACATAAGGAAGGCAGGCTAGCTTAAAATCTTGCAATCTGGATACGGTGCGCACCTCTCTAGGCAAACTGTTCCACAGCAATGCTCCTGCGGTGGCGAATCTCGTTTGGCCACACCGACTGCGAGCTGGCTGGCTGAGCAGACCATTGGCATGCTGATGGCGCGTACTTCTGCCGCTGCATGCTGCTGGTTTGAGAAGCTGGGCTAGAGCAAGGCTAGTGGAGTCATTTAGACAACGCCAGATGAAGATCAGGAGCTTTTGTTTGAAAAGTTCAGTGACGCGGTAAATCGAGTTGGCAGCCAGGAGGGGCTGCATCGCGGAACATGGCGGGCTGCCATCAATGCATCGGATCGCCCGGTTTTGCATGGCTTGCAGACGCTGAAGTTGGGTCACGCGGAGGGCTGCAGAGAAGCTGCAGGCACCATATAATTGGAAAGGCTTCCTGTCTGAAGCCTTTCCATACTGGTACTCGATGTTCCAGTTTTGTGACACGAGAATGGCACGAGAATTAGTGTACCGCTGAGTGTACCGCACTTGGTCGACACTTAGTCGACACGTTGTTGATACTTTTTTGACACGTGACCCCGTCAACGGTCTGCTTGTGCCAATGCCACTCGGTAAACGTCGATGTCGCGTACGACAAAGACGACTATCCCGTACGCGAAATAGTTGAGAATTGCATGACGTGGACCTGACGGCAAGGACAACTGCGAGGAGGCCCCTTTCGGTACCCCTGACGGGAAGGAGAACTGCAGAATCGACGAAGTCGAACGAGGAGGCCCCTTTTCCGTACCCCATACTGCAAAGTGCCATTGATGGATACCTTTTGCACCTGGAACGACTCCTTAAACGCTGTCGCGGCGACTATCCCGTACGCGAAATAGTTGAGAACTGCTGACGTGGACCTTTTGCACCTGGAACGGCCCCGTAAACGCTGTCGTGTCGGCGGAGTGAATGTGCAGGGTACTAGGGTGAAAAGAATTGCTGCAAAGACGTCCCCTCTACTAGGCTCTAGGCCTTTGCCTTTGGAGACATCGTCGGCGAACTGAATGTGCAGGGCGAAAAGAATTGCTGCAAAGACGTCCGCTCTAGGCCTTTGGAGACATCGTGGGAACTCCTTCCGGTACTATACAAACTGCTGACGTGGCCGTGGACATGTACTTGGAGAGTCATGGTGGGACTTCATGTACATGGATACATGGTGGGAATTCCTTCCGGCACCCCGTACCGCAAAGCCAACGGTGGGGAAGGAGAAGTGCAGACGTGCAGGAAGACGAACGAGGAGGAACCAGGACGAGCGAGCAATGGCAGGACTAGCTGGACCGTAAGTAATAGCTGAATTGTGCATGACAACTTGACATCCATGCGGCACTCGCCACTTGCCACTGCATATTTCTTGTCCACTAACAATGTCTCTCCTCTGCCCCCTGTGTGTCCACGGCCCTGTTGCTGAATTGGCCCGATGAATCGAATGTCTTCCGCAACTGGAACGGCCCCGTGAACGCTGTCGCGTCGGCGACTGAATGCGCAGGAGGGAAAATATTGCTGCGAAGACGTCTCCTCTAGACGACGGTAAGGCACCCCATTGATATGTTGCCAGTGTGTGCCAGGGTATCGCGCGATGGTGAATGAGGAATGAGGAAGGGTACGGTGGGACTGTAGACCTGTTACCTTCTACTAACACGTTATCAGGTGGAGAGTGTCTTGTACTCACGTTATCAGGTCGAGAGCGTATTGTAGTCACTCTCTCTATTCCTGCACTTCATTACGTTTAAGGTGAACGTATAACTTCTCAAAAAAATGTAATGGTCTACAGTCGTGTCGGAAGGGTACGGTGGGACTGTAGACATGTTACCTTCTAACACGTTATCAGGTGGAGAGTGTCTTGTACTCACGTTATCACTATATCAGGTCGAGAGCGTATTGTAGTCACTCTCTCTATTCCTGTACTTCATTACGTTTCAGGTGTACGTATAACTTTTCCAAAAAATTTAATGGTTCACGTCTTCAGATAGAGAGCGTATTGCACCCACTGTCTAGTCTCTGTAGTGCATTGAGATTTTGTTGATCGAACATGAAATGGATACACAGACAAAGCCAGGCCAAGTACGTGGCGAGATGTCGCCAGAAGAACGTCTTCAGGTAGAGAGCGTATTGCACCCACTGTCTAGTCGATTTTGTGGATCGCACATGAAATGGATACACAGACAAAGCAGGCCAAGTACATGAGAGAGTGGACGATGTGCAGATCGACACGGCCTGCGGGTACTTCATTAA